AACAGAAGATATAGAGGTTCAAAGTTTGGTACCGTCCCATACAAACCTCTCTCATTTTGCGCCTGTTCTAAACTGAAGGAACAGACGCAAAATTAGAAGGGTTTGTATGGAGAAATTAAAACCTAAAGTGCCCATATTTCGGCCGCAAATGGCAATGGAGAGCTAATTTTTGGCCAGTGGACGTTTTCTGGCATGCTTTCGCCGAATAACTGATCAAATTTCATAATTTCGCAAATTTAATTTTTGTGACGTCATAACTTTTGTACTCTTACCAATAGCTATTGACCAATAACAGTGCGCACAGTAATTGCACGTTTCTTTCTTTTTTTTCTTTTTTAACTCATGCCTCGGCTCATCTCGTCGTTCAATTCCAAGATGGCGCCTAATCTGGAGACGCCATCTTTGATTTGATCGCCGAGGCCTCATAAGGGCGAGATTGAGTATTTATTTTGTCTGTATGCATATCACTCAAACTTGCATGAAATCTGACCCGATTAAATACTTCAAAACAACAACAACAAAAGAACTAGCAAAAAATTTTAAAGTAACTTTTCAAAAGTATCTTATAACCCATAAATATCAAACAAGTAGCGATTTCGCTTCCAGTAATACAAAAATGTACAATCCGTGATACATAACTACAATCCAGGTAAATAAGGTTTGAACTCCGAATTTTTATATAATTATATTAAATTCACCCCTTCTCCCACTAACCCTTGAAGACGAGACATTTTATACATTTTTCTTCTTGGGCGCAGAATCGTTCCCAGAGCCTTTCCTGACCAGTTGGCGAGAAGGCCCTGGGATAGCCTACAGTGAAATTCGCTCGTTTGTGAGTAACCTACGATCAGGCCAATTTTTCGCGCTCCTTATATTCTCTTTAGTAAAATAGAGCGCGGAAAAATTCGCCTGATCGCAGGTTAGTTTGTGAGCAGAGGAACGAACAGAACTGGTGCGAGCCAAAAGTAGCGCCCGAGGGAGTAGGGGCAAGTCCAATTCTCCTTTTTTCTCTGGAAAGGCTCGAGCGAATGTAGCAATCGCTGCGTCTAAAACTAAGATTAGCGAGGCTAGCTGGTCTCCATAATAATAATAATAATAATCGAATATTTTTACAGGATACCCTTCAGTACAACAGTACTGTTATCAATGGGGTCTTGCTAACTATTAATAACAGACCAGAATTGAGCACATGTAAGTACTGTCTCCTACCTAATGCTATATGCTATTATAAAACAACCCTTTTTCATAAGAACACCGTAAAACCTAGAAAAGAAGCCCAGTGGGCTTAATCTCGGGAAAAAGCCCATCTCGAAAAGAAGCCCCCCTCTTGAGTTTGCAAAACTAATCTCGAAATGAAGCCCATCTCGGAAAGAAGCCCATCTCGAAAAGAAGCCCATCTCGAAAAGAAGCCCATCTTCAAATGAAGCCCACCCAAGGGTCCTAAATAGAAAACAAGCCCATGGGCTTCTTTTCGAGGTTTTACGGTCGGTTTCAATCCTAAAAAGTCACGCCCTTACAACACAACTTCTATCTCTGAACTAAAGTAGATCTTGTAGAAGAGTCATGAGCTAGTGACCGAAACCACTATTCGTAATAACGAGGCGTCCGTACTGTACTGTTCGACTGTACAACCAAGCATTTACACGCACGATAAATATACATGTAATTCATGCGTGGATTTCACGCAAGGCGGACTAAACACGCGCGATGCGCGTGCGAGACTAGAATGATTCCTAAATTTCAGTTGGTTAAGATTTCCTAATTGGCATTATATGGGCCTCTGTATTAAATACAAACTTATCAAGGGGAACAACGTCCACATCACTAAATAATAAGAATAAATACTTTAAAGTCTCTCCAAGGAAGAAGCTCTCCATTTTGTCTCTAAACCCTAGCCTTGTGTCCTTGACGCTATTGAGAGATGAGTATCCTCCGCTGGCGATTTTGGCGTGCTTCTCGATGGCTTGAAATATGGTCCAGCCATATTCCTGGTACTTTTTGTCTCCCGTGAGACGATACAGAATAAATAATGACTCCACGGTCTCTGGTCGTAGCAAACTGTGAGCATCCAATGGCTGGAGAAATTGAAATGATGGAGTTTAATAGGTACCCTAATAACAGTATATGCTTCCCAGGAGGACCGTGGTCTGAAGATTTGTGCGTTGAGGTTTAACTCTGGTTTACGTAGCACATATAAACCCCCGGGGGGGGGGGGGAGACTCACATATAAAAGTGACGGGAGTGATCGCCGGGAAATTTTGAAAAGAACCCCTAAAGGTACCAAAATCTTGTTTTGTGGGTGTGGCTCGAATTCATTTTCACCCCTAAGAGGTACTAATTCTAAGACAAAACTAGTCCCTGTTATATATTTTGTCCAGCTTAATACCCTAAAAGGTACCGAAATAACTCTAACGGCAGTCATTTTGTCAGGTTTTTCCAGCAATTTGCCGGTCCCAATTTATACTCCTGGGTGAAGAGAGGCACTGTGAAAGTAAAGTGAAGCCCAACAATACAACACAAACCCGGACCTCTGATACCATTACATCAACTTGCTTCTCACAAGTATTCAAACCAAACCAAAGGAAATAGTGCACAGTCACAATATAGCTGGTATAGGAAAATTCTTGAGAAACCCTGGGATTGTTTGCAGTGGAAATTTAAAAGTTGCAGGCAAAGGACGATGTAGATGTACAGGAGATGTTCACAAGCGGAGAAAATCGCCTGTCGCCTGCAGAAAAGGAAAACCTTGAGTTTAAAGGGGCTACGTCACGGATTGCCGTTTGCAATCCGTCTTAGTCTTCTCCATCCTCAACCATCCTTGTTCCTGTTTGGTTTCTTATTACATCTTTGGTGTTTTTCTACCTTAGTAAACTGTTATTTTGAGGCTTTCTTCAATTTGAAGGTGATTTTGCAATTTGCAAAAATGACTTAAAATATCGTGACATTGCTCCTTCGAACCATTACAATGTAAAAGTATTTACATGTACTTACCCTAACTGTAATGTCGTCATGCATGGATGGACCCTGGTTGAAATAAACAAGTTCAGCGCTCAATCCTGTTGGCATTCGCTTGTACATCTGGACACACGTCTCTAACAAGTCCTTAGCAAACTGTTCATATTTCTTGTCCAGGCCATTATGGACTGCTAACATTAAAGTTCCAGGCAGAAAACAACCAAATGATCCTGCAAAGAGTGACAAGTCACATGAATCAGACGATTAGGTTTGTAGAGAAAATGTCGAGCTGTACTGGTGGGCATTTCAAGCATTTCGACAGCTACATGTACGTGTAACCTGCATTCATCTGTTAGGCCCTCGCCAAAACTATTTAGCACTACTGTGCTAATTGCGGACACTGCAAATGAACAAACAGGCATGATACTTAAATTTGATTTTTTTTTTTTAAGTGAAGATGACGCTACCATTGCCACTCGACAAAGTTTTTGATTAATTTTTGACATCTTTTTGACAACTTTGATGGGTTCCATTTTGTGGCGCCGCATTTGAACTAGACTCAAAACAAAAACCATTCAAATTTGACGACTCCGCCTCCAACACTCCTTGGATTTTGATTGGTCAAGTCAAACGGAACCCATCCGAAAGTCGTCAAAAAGTTGTCAAAAAGATGTCAAAAATTAATCAAAACTTTGTCGAGTAGCAACGGTAGCGTCATCTTCACTGGATCAGTCTTAAGAACTGGTGACCCATAGTTGTCGATGTAACAAAATATTTTTATCACAACTTTATTTTTAGACACTACATGTGTACATGTACATCTACTGTACAAAAATAGTAAATTATACAAAAATCAGTAAATACCATCTTGGGGCTAAATGTTTGACCATGAAGAAGTTCACCAATGTACACCAGCTTGTTTGGTGGGATTCTCGCTTCAAAAGTGACATAACCCCATCCATGGCCTCTACAAAATCATCCCTAAGCCTGCAAATAAGAAATTACAGTTACGGCTAGATTTAATTTAAAATTACTAATAATAAAACTATGATTTCAAAGGTTCTCTGAAAAAAATCTAACACAGCCTTACCAATCTTCCGTTTTTCCACTCTGTAACCACTGCTTTAGCAGATACTCATAGTAACTATCACCGCGCGCACCCAGAGTGATTGTTGAACCAGGGCGGAACCTGCCAGTATCAGCATTTACAAAAATCGGCACTAAGCCTGCCCTCTTTGGAAGGGAGTGGAGATGATTCATCACTGTATCTACAGCAGACTGGGAAAAAAATGACCAAGTTTGCTTCGTCAGACAAATAGTGGAAATTATAATTATAATTCTGAACAAATTGTCACAATGCCAATATATGGTCAAGGAGCCCTTATTATCTGTCATCCGTACATGAAATATATCCTGTAGCATTATATGGCAAACTGGTCCACGACGAAAAGGAACATTCTGATTGGTTCCCTGAGCGGTCCGTATTTTGCAATACGGACCGATATTTTGGTCATACGGACCGTATTTTGCAAAATTGTTTTCTATTAAGTAGAAACATGTTTCCTCATGTCTGGCGGACAATTTCGGTTAAACTTTTCGCAAAGTGGCCTGAAAAATGCAAGACTATGCTTAGCTTTGGCGCGCGCGCGTTAGCCGAGAATGGTTGCATTAATTTATCAGCAAGTTTTTAAAAAAGCCATTATAATAAAAACTTTATTGAACTAGCTTGCTCAGTCCGTATTGGGAAATATTGGTCTCGTTCTTTTTTTGCAAGTTTATGGACCTCGCCTTCGGCTCGATCCATAAACTTGCAAAAAAGAACTCGACCAATATTTTCCCAATACGGACCTCACGCTAGTTCAATAACATCTATGTATTTGTCAGTTTGCCATATTTGGAAGTGCACTCAAGTTGACTCATCCGGCATTTATGTACTGGAAAGGGCTGCTGAGTTTGATAGGACTTAAGGACATTTCGATGCTTTCATTTTGCGACTCATTACACAATTTGAGTGCATTTTATAAGTATAAGTGCCCGGCCCACGAGTCTTCCTGTAGCTCAGTGGTTAGAGCATCCAACCAGTGTGTGGAAGGGCGGAAGGCCATGGGTTTGATTCCCATTGGGGACTCAGATTTTTCTTTGTCCCACGTACGCTCATGACAAACTGAAATACATGTAACATCTTTCTCAGTTGACAGTTTTGCTGAATAATAACTTACAATTATCCCATTCAATCTTGCGGTATATTGTCTGATTTTAGCCAATTCAGCCTGCAGCCTCATTGGTTAAGTATCAGATGATATTCTATGCGATTTTGCAGGATAATATTATCCTTAATATTATGATTGTTAAAAATATATATATTTGTTTATATTATGCAAAAAATTGGTGGCAACATTAAAGGTTACCTTGTATTTTGTATCTCCAGTGGTGTAAGTAAGATCTCTGAACTCCAGTTGTATAGTGGTGACTTCCGAGACAGAACTATCTGGACCCCAGCGGGGAGGGTGTGCTGCATGAGTCAGCAGATTGACATCTGAATATGGAATATTGGACCTTGATGAAAAGCTGGCAAGAGACGATCCCCTAGATCAATCTGCAAATTAAAACAATAATAATGACCTTTTAACCAGTGACTCAATAATGTTACATACTTATTTTTGAGGTTTCAAGGGGGGAGTCACCAAGAATCAAGAGACAGGAATAAAAAAAATGTTTTCTTCAACTCTCATCAACTTCCCTCAAATGTGGGCCAACATGAGAGGAAACTCTTGCTGACTCTCAATAAAAGTTTGAATGCACGAGTCCGTCAACAAGAGTGGTGCATGAGGGTTTCAGGCCAAACAAGAGCAAGACTTTCCACTTTCTCGTTTGGCCCGCATCAGGCTATGTAAAGATGTGCACATTTTCTATGTATTCCTTACATCTCCTTTATCTGGCATCAAAGTGAAACACGTTAAAATAAATTGAAATATGTTGATGAATACTTTTAGTGTACTATGCCTACATTGTATACGACTAGCCTGGAATACACAACTACATGATTGAACACGTACATGACTGTATAATAGACCTTTTTAGCTTCATATGTAAATTGCCCATTTCAGACCACGTGATAATTTCTCTAGTCTAGAGAATTGTGCCTTTGTCTATCAATCTAAACATGTCTTTATTATTATTATATTCTCATGAATCTGATTCAATTTCATGGTCTGAAATGGAACAAAAACAAACCAAGCTAAAGACGGTCCATTACAGTTGATAAAACTACACCTACCAGACATAAACAACTTAATTATTAGTTCAATATACTTACTGCCTTCTTTAGAAACAAGTCATCTTGTGACAAGTGATAAGCACTCATAAGTCCTCCAAGTACACGGATGGTCGTCTCAAACAGATTCACATCAACATTCTTCTCAAAAGTCAAGCTATTCGCAACCCAGTCGCGTGCCTGTTGAAATTCATCGTGCAGGTTCATAAGCAGCATGGTATCTAAGGAATCAATAATTGTAAGCCCAACACCAAACCACTCGCTGTACGATCTGGAAACAGGGCGCAGTTCATCATGACCCCAAGCATATTTTTTGTAACCTTCCCAGGCGTATTTAAAAGCCCCTACAACCTTGTTCTGACGCTCATTTTGTTTCTCCAGTGGAATTATGTTAACTCCATTTATGTTCAATGCAAAGTTTTCATAACTTTCGATAGGATTTGCCTCACCATCACCAGCAGTATCTGCGCCGTTTTCACCAGGTTTGTCCTCGTTGTGAACTATAGTGTCTCCATGTATCTCCCCTGGCAGTCTTTCTTCCTTTACATTACCAATCACATGATCATCAGAATTAATATTTTGCTTTTTGTTATGACTTAGATTATCTTTATGTGATTCAGGGCTGTTTCTATTCTTTAATATCGGAGGTCCCTTCTTCATTGCAATGGCATTGTGCTTTTTGAAATGGTCCAGTTCTCGTAAATTGTTTTCAATAATCTCTTGTTTATTGACTCTATTGAACTTCGGAGAATTTTCGTCGGAAATCTTGTGACCTTTATGATCGCCAGTTTCACTCAAGTCGTCAGCATTATAGCTGTGTGACATTAGTCCTTTACGCCAAATCACTAAAGTTACACATCCAAGAATAAAAAGCACAATGATGAGTGATCTTTGAAATGAAGACATGGCTCGCCATTTCTGCAATAAAAGAACAAAATAATAATAATTATTATTAATCTTGTTACAGTCAAACCCCTATTAAGCGGTCCGCTAACGGACACTTTCCGTAGGCGGACACCTCTCGTAAGCGGACACTTAATTATGTACCCAGCTACATACAAAGGCTACATTTTAACCTCCCATAAGCGGACACCTCTCTTAACCAGACACTTTCTCTGGTCTCGAGGGTGTCCACTTACAGGAGGTTCAACTATAATAATTTACATATATTCACTAATGCAGAAATTCAGGTAATATGCCATGTTGAAAATGAATATACACGTAAATAAAGTTGTTACAGTTGATCGGACTTGAGTAAATATTACACGTAAACTGAAAAAATTATAATATCTTCTGCCGACATTCAACAATAAGTTTAACTTTAGTTAATATAAGCTTAATATTAGTTATTTTAGGTACATGTAATATTTTTTTAATTTAAAGTACTTACATGTAGGCATGTTATAAATTATACTACATACATCCGTAACAACAGACACTGAATAATAATTATTTTAAAACCACGATACGAATAGAAGTCAAATGGAACTCAAGTCTCAGCTGCTTCGAAACGTTGTTAGCTTCAATTTTGTTTAATAGTTTATGAATGTTAGTTTAGGAGCATGTAACACTATTATTATCATTAAAAAATAACACATAGAAACAATCGACAATACAGGTAACTTAACTAAATAAAGAAAACCTATAGAAAGAGTCGCTCGCTCACCCTGTACAGAGAGGTATGTCGGCGGACTTTACTATTATCGTCTCCATCATGACTTTCCCATGGCATAGAAACCGAGATAAAATCTCGTGATCCATCCCCCTGACTGGAACTCATATTTACTATGAACTTTAGGGAAGAATTCACGACAAAATTAGGATGTTTGTAAACGGGAAATTATATATCCTTGATATTTTTGATTGCTATAAATATTGTCCAACACAACGCCGATTGTCCGCCATCTTTACCATAATATTTAGTACCCAGGCTGCTGGGTCAAAAATGTTTCAGAGTCCCAGGTCCCAACAAATGTTCAAAGAGTGGATAAAGCTATTGTCTCCACCGCGGATAAATCACTATCCAGTGGATAGCGTACTTTGTTTTGTATACACTTATCCACGGGGATAGCGATTTATCCGGTGGATAGCGTTATCCAACCTTTGAACAACTGGGTCCAGCAACAGTACCGCAGTAAAACTCGCAGTGAAAGTCGCAGTAAAAGTCGCAGTAAAACTCGCAGTGAAAGTCGTAGTAAAAGTCGCAGTATAACTCGCAGTAAAAGACGCAGTATAACTCGCAGTATAACTCGCAGTATAACTCGCAGTATAACTCGCAGTATAACTCGCAGTATAACTCGCAGTATAACTCGCAGTATAACTCGCAGTACAACTCGCAGTATAACTCGCAGTAAAACTCGTAGTGAAAGTCGTAGTAAAAGTCGCAGTATAACTCGCAGTAAAAGACGCAGTATAACTCGCCGTATAACTCGCAGTACAACTCGCAGTATAACTCGCAGTATAACTCGCAGTACAACTCGCAGTACAACTCGCAGTATAACTCGCAGTATAACTCGCAGTATAACTCGCAGTATAACTCGCAGTATAACTCGCAGTATAACTCGCAGTATAACTCGCAGTATAACTCGCAGTACAACTCGCAGTATAACTCGCAGTGAAACTCGCAGTGAAAGGTAGTAAAAGTCGCAGTATAACTCGCAGTAAAAGACGCAGTATAACTCGCCGTATAACTCGCAGTACAACTCGCAGTATAACTCGCAGTATAACTCGCAGTATAACCTACAGTATAACTCGCAGTATAACTCGCAGTATAACTCGCAGTATAACTCGCAGTATAACTCGCAGTATAACTCGCAGTATAACTCGCAGTATAACTCGCAACTCGCAGTATAGCTCGCAGTGAAAGTCGCAGTATAACTCGCAGCGAAAGTCGCAGTATAGCTAGTGATATTTTGCAGCAAGTTTCGGCAAAATATCACTAGCTATTTTGCGAAGCCAAACAAGATTTGCCGGGGATGCAAGGCATACACGAGAGAAAGGTCAAGGGAGAAGGGAGGGTGGATGGAACAACTGATATTGAGGCGATTTTGATTAATATTATGAAAACAACAATAAAAAACATTGCAAACATATCATGTTCCCTGCTGCCTAGATTTAGTTTAAGAAAAGAAGGAAAACGACACAATACAAGATCACGGATTGCAATTCGACCTTCCTTTATTTCAATACAACTGCAATCTATTAAACATAATAATAAACCCAGATTTTCCCGGCTGGTGCGAATCTACGACCTGACATTTAATCGCGATTTACTGTGATAGATATTGTGAGTAATATTTTCTTCAGCTTCTTTTAAAAGGCGTGTTTTGGATGAATATCCTCTGGTTCATCTTCCATTTCTTCATCAAAGAGAGCTGCATAAATCTTTCGTTTAGCTTCTTTGGGAATTTCCTGCTCATGATCTTCTGAGCTCTTCATCTCGTTCTCGTCCATCTTACCACGACGGCGTCGACGGCGTCTTCGCCAAGCATCACTGAAAAAAAAATATATATTAAATATTCTGAGAATATAGACTTTAATCAAACGAGCAGCTGCAGTTCTTTTGCGTGGAGGGTGGACTCAAAACGTTCAAGAATCTGGATTGACTTACTGTGGCGAATCAGAAGAGCGTGAACACTTTGATTCAAACTTGGATTTTCCTGACTATTCTTCTTGTGGTTTGATCATGTCAAAGTTAAATAAAAGTGTTCACGCTTTTTCAGTGATTCTCACAGTAAGCTTCGTTACTGAAATTGTGAATTTTGAACGTTTAGAATTTAATTATTTGCGGAGAGTATTATACAACATTTCTTTTTGGAAAATCATCAAAGGGCTACAAACTAGAAGCCTATTTCCTATTTCCTGTTCTAAAATTGGATGATGAAACAAATAGCTGTAGAGGTTTATTTCCAGAATATCATATACAGCTGTTTCGAGAAAGGTTGTCGGAAAAAAGCGCACGCGACAATCCCGAAAGGTAATCTAGGATATGATTAATGATTTGAATACGTCAAATAAATACATCAAACCCGCGATGCCTACTTTTGCTGCTTTCTTTTAGCACTCGCAAACATACGTCCATGGCGTCTCGTGCCATTTTCTCAGATTTCCCTGAAATGCTGAAGTCAAGGAACCGTGAACTTAAAACTACCCACAATACCTTTCGGGATTGTCGCGTGCGCTTTTTTCCGACAACCTTTCTCGAAACAGCTGTATTCAAAGTTTGCAGCCTGTACGCTTACGTTTTGCGAAGAAATTAAACTTAAAATATTTAGTTTGTGTTTTCTACGCACTTACTAACCTGTCATCAATCAACAGAGATGCAACAACGAACATCAAGAGAATGGCGATCCAAAACTTGTTCATCTTAAAATCCTTCGTGAAAAAAAAAAAAAAAAAAACAATTAGCAAACATCTTCCGAGTTTGAGAGTTGTAGGCAAAACAGAAATGAACTGAACTGACTGGGTTCATAAAACTGGTACGTTTAGCATCGTTCTTACCTTTTAGAGTTTAGCAATTGCAACCAGCAGAAATACTTCTTCGTCCGACAAGCGATTTCACTGAATGACTACTGACTGTGCTTAAAATATATTTATAGCGCACGACTCTATTTTAATTTTTAAACAGTTAATGAGTTGGTGACATCCATTTTCTATACTTAAATTACAGCTTGTTGTTCAATCGTCTTCCTCGTTACAACATTCCTAACACAAAATTTTCGTAGTAATTGATAAACAAAGACTAGTACTGGTTGAAGGACTTGTAAAATTTCTCACAGGTGCATCCTTGGTGAGGCTACCACCACACAAGACCACACCATCTGAAATTATCCAACAAGTCCCGATACAGGTGCATGGCTCTTTTAAAAACAATAGAACAAAGTTGATAAAGCCCAGCAAAATTCTTTTTTACACGTTTTTGTTTGCTCGTTTGGCCTTGACCATGCACAAAACCAAATAGGTTTTCATGCGTGTCCGAGCAACTAACGATAGTGTGTGAGCACAGAACAAAATAGATTGTGCACTGTCGTAGACCTTCAAACATAAATCTTGGCACCTTTGTTTGAGTAGCTTACAGAAAATGAAGTGTGTTTGAATATAAAGACTGAACGCATAGCGGAAGTATTTTTGCGTCATCATTTTCCGTAAACTGTTTCTTCTTTGTACGGAAGTATATAAGTATAGTTTTTGTTGTTGTTTAAAATAATTTTGTGCTTTAGTATTTCAAGCAAATTATCATCCTTGTTTAATTGATAAACAAAGACGTGTTATACTTTACAAAAAGAGGATAATCTTGACTTGACATGTTAAATTTATGACACGTGTACTGACATGTGTTTTTGCATGTTGTGTGAGCATTACAACAACGCCATCTATTTTGAACAATCCTTCGTTAAAGTGCATGAAGAAATTATTCTTGCAGTTGTGTTTGCAATTTAAGCCGAATGAATTGCAAAGAAACCTAAAAAAAAATTAACGGGATTTGAACCCATGACCTCTGCGTTACCGATGCGATGCTTTAGCAACTGAGCTATCAAGTCACGCATTCATTGAAGCAAATAAAGGGCCCTAGCTTCGATGGATAGTTTCGATGGCCATGAACAGCTATTTTCAACAGATATTTAAACTTATAGGCCATCGAAGCTCAAACATTTCTGTCAAAAACGAAAGAACAAAAGAAACTAGTAATAATTCTTCCTAGCTATTTCCAACACCGAGGTTTATAGTTGTTTAATAACTTTTAATTATGTTTTTCAAGAGCACTGACGTAAATTATTCAACTCGGGCTCAGAAAATTGTGAGCCAAACTGAGGTTAATACGTGAGAAGTTCTGAGATATTCAGCTCTCGTGAGGAGAGAGCTCCTTGTTTGTATAATCTCTTACAGTTAGTTTGATTTTTTTTGAAAACGTCCGTTTGATTTTAGAAAAAGTGAGTTTGATTTTGAAAAGAAGCGTTTGAATGGGACTTTGATTTTCAAGTTTTGAAAAGAAAGCATTTTTAAACGAAAGACGAAAGCGCGTTTGACTTTAGAAAACTTGTATTTTGGAAAAAGTGAGTTGATTTTGAAGATGCGAGTTAACTATATATGAAACTGAAAAGACCTCATATTCAAATATAATAACTGATTTATTCTCATTCACAAAATCAGATTTCAAATCTGTTTCATTCCCATGACTGCTCTTTCTGTTTGACTGTTATTTATTCCCAATAATTTACGAATGAAATCATGCACGGTGTTTGCTTTTCCATTTTAGGGTGATAATTATTTCAAAAAACGAATATAAAATAACAGTTCCTTCTAGCTATGGGAAATAAAATTGTTTCATTCGTGGCTTTGTATGACAGGAGGAAAAAAAGACAAGCACATGGACTGAAATATTGAAACTTTCTTTATTGCAATATAACAATGTGTGTAATATACAATATTCTGTTTATTACAACAAACCCTTATGGTGCGAAAGTGACAACATTTTATCATGATATATCGTCATAGATACATTCTCAACAGTTGTGCTTAATATTTTCTTCAGCTTCTTTTAAAAGGCGTGTTTTGGATGAATATCCTCTGGTTCATCTTCCATTTCTTCATCAAAGAGAGCTGCATAAATCTTTCGTTTAGCTTCTTTTGGAATTTCCTGCTCATGATCTTCTGAGCTCTTCATCTCGTTTTCGTCCATCTTACCACGACGGCGTCGACGGCGTCTTCGCCAAGCATCACTGAAAAAAAAGAACAAATTAAATATACTGAGAATATAGACTTTAATCAAACGAACAGCTGCAGTTCTTTTGAGTGGAGGGTGGACTCAAATCGTTCAAGAACCTGGATTGACTTAAGCTTCGTTTCTGAAATTGTGAATTGAAACGATTTGAAGAAAACATAATGCAAAGAATTGAAATTATTTGCGGATATATGCGACGTTCTCTATGAAAAATCATCAAATGGTTACAAACTAACAGTATATTTCCTGGTTCCTGGTCGGTTTGAAATTGGATGATGAAACACTGAGGTAACTGTAAGAGGTTTATCTCCAGAATAGCATATATTCAAAATTTCACAGGCTAGGCTTACTGAATTTTACACGAACACACTGATAAACTTAACTGTAGTTTGTGTTTGTTTTTGTGTTTGTTTCTACGCACTTACTAACCTGTCATCAATCAACAGAGATGCAACAACGAACATCAAGAGAATGGCGATCCAAAACTTGTTCATCTTAAAATCCTTTCGTAAAAAAAAAAAATTAGCAAACAATCTTCCGAATTTGAGAGTTGTAGGCAAAACAGAAATTAATTGATTTGACTGGGTGCATTAAAACTGGTACGTTTAGCATCGTTCTTACCTCAGTTAGCGCCGTTTAGCAACCAGCAGAAATACTTCTTCGTCCGACAAGCTTCACTGAATGACTACTGACTGTGCAGACGAGATATTTATAACACGTGACTCTATTTAAATTTTTAAACAGTTAATGAGTTGGTGACATCCATTTTCTATACTTAATAGACAGCGTGTTGTTCAACCGTCTTCCTCGTTACAACATTCTTAACACATAATTTTCGTTTTAATTGATAAACAAAGACTGGTTGAACGACTTGTAAAATTTCTCACAGGTGCATATCCTTGGTGAGGCTACCACCACACCATCTGAAATTATCCAACAAGTCCCGCGCGCTACAGGTGCATGGCTCTTTTAAAAACAATAGAACAAAGTTGATAAAGCCCAGCAAAATTCTTTTCTACACGTTTTTGTTTGCTCTTTTGGCCTTAACCATGCACAAAACACAACGTTTTAACGTGTTTCCGAGCAACTAACGATTGTGTGTGAGCACAGCAGAACAAAAGATTGTGCACGGTCGTGGGGGACCTTCCAACATAAATCTTGGCACCTTTGATCGAGTAGCTTACAGAAATTGAAGTGTGTTTGAATAACTCACAAATATATAAAGACTGAACGCATAGCGGAAGTATTTTTGCGTCATCATTTTCCGTAAACTGTTTTCTTTGGACGGAAAAATGGTATATGTAAGTATAGTTTTTGTTGTTGTTTAAAATAATTTTGTGCTTTAGTATTTCAAGCAAATTATCATCCTTGTTTAATTGATAAACAAAGACGTGTTATACTTTACAAAAAGAGGATAATCTTGACTTGACTTGTTAAATTTATGGCAGGTGTACTGACATGTCTTCTTGCATGGTGTGTGAGCATTACAACAACGCCATCTATTTTGAACAATCCTTCGTTAAAGTGCATTAAGAAATTATTCTTGCAGTTGTGTTTGCAATTTAAGCCGAATGAATTGCAAAGAAACCTGAAAAAAAGATTAACGGGATTTGAACCCATGACCTCCGCGTTACCGATGCGATGCTTTAGCAACTGAGCTATCAAGTCACGCATTCATTGAAGCAAATAAAGGCCCTTGCTTCGATGGCCATGAACAGCTATTTTCAACAGATCAGATTTAAACTTATAGGCCATCGAAGCTCAAATATTTCTGTCCAAAACGGCGAAAGAAACAAAAGAAACTAACAATTCTTCGTAGCTATTGTTAAACAATTTCCAACACCGCCGAGGTTTCTAGTTGTTTAATCACTTTTAATTATGTTTTTCAAGAGCACTGACGTAAATTATTCAACTCGGGCTCAGAAAATTGTGAGCCAAACTGAGGTTTTATATTTTATCTAATACCTGAGAAGTTCTGAAATATTCAGCATTCGCGAGGAGAGCGCTCCTTGTTTGTATAATCTCTTACAGTGGGTTCGATTTTTTTTTTGAAAACGTCCGTTTGATCTTACTGAGAAAAAGTGAGTTTGATTTTGAAAAGAAGCGTTTGATTTTTAAAAATGTGAGTTTGATTTTCAAGTTTTGAAAAGAAAGCAATGTTACCCAACGCGGTTGATTTTTTTAAACGAAAGCGCGTTTGACGGCTTTAGAAAACTTGGTCTGGACTTTTGGAAAAAGTGAGTAGATTTTGAAGATGCGAGTTAACTATATATGAAACTGAAAACTTCCTAACTTATGACCTCATATTCAAATATAATAACTGATTTATTCTCATTCACAAAATCAGATTTCAAATCTGTTTCATTCCCATGACTACTCTTTCTGTTTGACTGTTATTTATTTCCAATAACTTACGAATGAAATCATGTGTTTGCTTTTCCAGTTTAGGGTGATAATTATTTCAAAAAACTTATATAAAATAACAGTTCCTTCTAGCTATGGGAAATAAAATTGTTTCATTTGTGGCTTTGTATGATGGGAGGAAAAAAAATACAAGCACATGGACTGAAATATTGAAACTTTCTTTATTGCAATATAACAATGTGTGTAAAATACAATATTCTGTTATTACAACAAACCCTTATGGTGCGAAAGTGACAGCATTTTATCATGATATATTGTCATAGATACATTCTCAACAGTTGTGCTTAATATTTCCTTCAGCTTCTTTTAAAAGGCGTGTTTTGGATGAATATCCTCTGGTTCATCTTCCATTTCTTCATCAAAGAGAGCTGCATAAATCTTTCGTTTAGCTTCTTTGGGAATTTCCTGATGATCTTCTAAGCTCTTCATCTCGTTTTCGTCCATCTTACCACTACGGCGACGACGGCGTCTTCGGCGCCAAGCATCACTAAAATAAACAGGAACACAAATTGATTTGAGAAAATATAAAAACAGTGAAATTAACTACATTGTTTTGGGTTAAGAGCAGATATTTTATAACTTTGAGCTACAATAGTTTCAATAAACGAAACTGATTTTGCGAAAACTGAAGTCCGCAATATGTATTTCTCGATAGTTCGGTATTGTAATTTTTCTCGCTGAGAAAATAAAGGTTGCAAACTGAAACTAAGGTTCCTGGTTTAAAATTGGACGATAACTGAAGACGGTAGCAACATTAATTTTCAAATAGTTAATGATTTGGTGACAGCCATCTGCTTAAACCTAAATTACAGCTTGTTGTTCAATCGTCTTCCCTTTTAAATATACACACAAATACTTCTTGTTGAGTAGTTGTCGGCAGCATAGAAGTAGTACATAATATTTCTGTTAATTGATAAACAAAATCATGTTTTTGTAGAGTTGTAACATTTCTCACAGGTGTCTCGTTGGTGAGGCTACCACCACACCATCTGAAATTATCAAACAAGTCCCGCTACAGGTGCATGGCTCTTTAAAAAAATCAAGAGAACAATGCATTTATTTCAGTATACTGGTAACTAACAGAACATGCTTGCTTGATGATAAGTAGGCTTGCCGGCCATACGTCGAAAGTTTCATGCATGTGTCGAACTAAATTCAGCGAATTAACATCATCATCATGAGCATGGAATGAGAAGTTCGACAATTTTAAGTCAGTTTTTGGAAGAGCAAAATCACCTTCAAATTGAAGAAAGCCTGAAAATAATAGTTTACTAAGGTAGAAAAATACCAAAGATGTGATTATAAACCAAACAGGAACAAGGATGGTTGAGGATGGAGAAGATTAAGACGAATTTCGAACGGCGAACTTGAAAAAAATTGGCCAATTTTTTCAAGATGCGCCATCTGTGACGTAGCTCCTTTATTTGGATCGACGATTTTCATCTGAAGAAAGACGTAAAGAACGACGATGACTGAATTAAATCGCGAAAAAACGCAATTGTTATTTGGGTTTTGAGCTTCAGAGTTCGCGTGTTATTGAAACTATAAAGGTCCAGTAATACGTTCGGGTGTTGTGCAGGGTAGCGCTGACACCATCTGAAATTATCATCCAAAATGCACATTGATTCTTCACAAAACACGAGTTGAACGTGTTTTGTTTTAATTCACTCACTGTTTTTAGAGTAACATCTTAAATTATGAAAACAAAATCCTGCCCGCTACATGTTGAGATGGTTGTAAAAAAATTAAGAGACTTAAATCTACCAAACCAGTTAAAATCGATCTAATGTTTTACTTTTGCTGGAAAACAAGCTCAACCGCACAACAAAAACTGCACCCTAAATGTTCACGCCGGTTTTGATTTCAAATAATTTTTCTTTTCTGTTATATTTCTGCAGTTTTTTCTAAATAAAAAAACGTAAAACACTCAATATTTCAGCACATGTCGTAAATCAGCTGGGATTCATGTTTTTATTATCTATTTTCTTTGAATCCAGCTAAGGTTTTTATTTATATTTATAAACTTTGGAGGTGACATCTTTCTTTAAACTTCCGAATATCACCAATTACTGCGACCATGACTATACGATTATGATTTAAAAAAAATGGTTAGATTGTAAACAAGTATCTTTGCCTTATCCGACAGTTGGTAAGATTTGGAGAAAAATTTGGAGAATTCAAAGTACTTATTGTGTAAACCATCGACTACGACTTGGATTTACATAAACTTTCGAATTCTTCCTAACCAAGAGAGCATGATACAAGAGAAGCATTCCCCACTGTCCACAGCTGAGCTATTTTAAGAGCGTTTCCTAATTGGTTAGTTCGAGTAACGTAATGTCGGAGGCCTCGATCAGAAAGAAATAAAAATAACTTTCACAGTATGGCGTGAAACTATTAATAGACTCCAAAACATTATCACGATGCACAGGAACTGATCCTTCTCTTAGATCATCCTCTCTTGTCCAAACTTATTATTAGCTTTCTGTCTTGTTTGCATCAGCGTATGTATAAACACTCGCGCCATTTTCTATTTCTTCAATAGTTTTTTTTTCGGAGAGATAATCATCTTAGAAACCAACCAACCAGTGTTTCTAGATCTTTCAGTTGTGAGAAGGCCTCCAATTTTGTCATCCCATATAAATTCATTGCAATATGGAATATTTCTGATGCATATAGTGTCATTACAGCTTCAATCGAAATGTGCACTGTGTGCGTGGAGGATGGAAAGGCCAACTTTTGTGAATTATCTTTAGAGATATGATTAGTAATATTCTACACTTATGTCCAGGATTGAACGCAGGTATTGTTTTTTAAATACTTCATATATGACTGGGTTATTTGTCATTTTCATATTACTTCATATTTAACAAAATTATGTGTGTTTTGGTGAACTTATCAATGAGGACACTTTGTGATGCCTATCATGAGGAGCGTGTATCTCATTTGTGGTCAATCCTGGACATATATCTCATATTCTGAGGACTATTTGACTATAAAAGATCACTTGGGTTACCGAGCGATTGCAGTAACAGCTATACCTTGTAGCAGTCAGGAGAAGGGGTTAAAATAGCATACAAAGTTTAAAAAGTTTAATAATAATAACTATGATTTTTTTTTTAATTAAAACGTATTTGAACAAAGCGAAGGTCCGTGTCAATCTTCATTTAATAATCTTTATTTCACATAAAGGGCATAATATTCTGCTCTGTATCTTTTATCCCAGTTACAAACCATATAAGAAAAGTATGCCATGGTTTATGCTCTCCTATTATCGGTTTAAATGATCAGGGTGTGCTCGCCCCGGGCTTCACATGAATGCCTTGTGGACAAAGAGAGATAGTGAGTAATAGTTGCTATATCTTGGTTGTTAAATTCCGCTTCAGAACAATTTTGTAATGGTTAAACAAAATGGCTAAAGCCAAAGGTTTGTGTTTCCCAGCTTAACTGTTGCTAGATCAGACCCTATAGATGTTGATTTCACATGATAAACAGATTCCGCACTGTATGCTCTGTATTGTACATATCCCAGTTACAAGTCAAGTGAGAATAGTATGTCGTGGTTTATGCTCTCTTATTATTGGTTTAAATCACCACGTGTGACAACCTTTCATCTCTATATTCAGAAGTTAAGAAGTTTAAATAAATGCTATGTGGAACAAGAGAGTTAGTTTATAGCAAGAGGAGTGCTGAACGCTAACATCCATTGAAGTCTAAAGTTCCGAGGTAAGGATGATTACAACATATATAGCATTTTGTAGCCCACTTGTTGAAAAGATCCACAGTACACTATATTATCTAAAGAATACTATAAATATTTTAGAAAAGGCTCGGTTGTGTTAGTTTGATTTTAGCAGTGTTCATTCTTTAGAAGTTGGCTTGACTGAAAGCTTGTGACAAGTTTAAAATGATTAAGAACTCATGTCGGACAAATAAACCTTGTAAAAGTGCTGTATTGCCAAAGGATCTAACAAAATTTCAGTATGAAATAGTCAAAGTACGTATTGCACAGCGCTTTCAGACTCACAACAGTAGTGAGGGAAGAGGACTGAACGGTTTAGGGAGGAGCCTGAGGGAGAAACAGCTGAAAAAAAGTTAGGAAGCAGGGAGAAGCAATGTAAAGGTGGAAGGAGAAATAACCTGCGATCAGGCCAATTTTTCGCGCTCCTTACATTCTCTTTATACCCTGGGTGCCAGAGGCTTTTCTTGCGCGGTTTCTGTTTTTTGGGGCGTCGGCCT